GATTTTTTGTGGTTTTGATTTTAGGCAGTTTCTTATAATACCTGGGGAAAGCAGGAGAACATAAATGTTACTAGCTCAGCTGGTTTAACTTGGCCTTTTCATTTGATTCAGAGGTGTAGATTTTTGATTGCTATATTTTGGTCAAGAGATTTTAGTGGTTTCTCGACTACAGATTTCAAGTTAAAATGTCATATTTAGAGACAGATACTCAGAGATTGCACAAAACTCTTTCTCCATCAAAGCCCATGATCCAGGGTCGTTCAGTAGCGAGGAACTATGCTGCAGCTAAAGGAGCCCACCTAGAAGCACCAGCGTACTTCATCATAACCTCTGTGTGGTTTTCTCATCACCTAAGAATCCAAATCCCAGATCACCAAATACACCTGTATAGAATTTTTAAAAAATTCAAACACAGTTCTTCTCCCAGCTACAAGTACAACTCAGAGAATTTTTGGCATCAAGAGCAGTAATATTTATACCAGCATCCTTCAGGTGCAATCACACATTACGAATAAAGCGTGAATTCAAAACCACTGCAGGAGTGGATATCTCAACCTGCAGTTGTTCTGTCAGCACGAGAGTGCCCTAAGCTGGTCCCATGCTCCAGTGGCATAGGTCCAAGTCTGGTGAGCTTTGCACATTTGCATACAGTGTCCACACCAACAGGGCACTGCAGTCTTCCAAGGCCTTTCAGAGAGCTTGGATCAAGACAGGATGGCACATGGCCCAGGCTAATAAGATGCTCCAGACATTAGCTGATCTTGTTCTGGTATATGGGATAAACTAAAGAAAAACTTGTATCCAGTAGTTATCTGGGTTCCCACTGGGTGGTTGTGTAAGAACAATGTTTTCAATGTGTAATCTGTAACCGGGGCAACCTAGATCTTTTCAAAGGGGACAGGATTGGAAAATAAGGTCTCCATTACCTACAGCCTGAGATAACCATCACAAAATAGCATAGGCTTAGGCAGGGAAACATATCTGGTAGGAAGGAGACGAGGAGGCTGCAGAAGAGTTAGAGTCAGGCAGCTGTGGAAAGGAAAATGCTCTCTGCTGCCTACACACCTGCTACCTGCCCCACTGCTCACTTACAGGATCTGATTTATTTCAAATCTTTGTTGTAACTTGACCAAAGGGTTCAATAAATTAAAACATATTTAGAAAAAAGTAGAAATAAGAATAAAAGAATTCTAAAAGAGGTTTCCTTCTGTCTGCATTAATACAGAAATGAAGAAAGATAACAGAGAGATGCTGCTCCCTGTGGCTTTCTGTCCCACTCCCCACTCAGCAGTTATAATTTTATGCCACATCAAAGATTCATAGAATATGGATTTAGATGCAAGAAAATGCTACCTAGATTTTAGAAAGACTACATTCTTCATATTAACAGTTTTTAGTATTTGTGGTTTTTCATTGTTTCATATCTTTTGCAAAAGGGAAGGAGAAAACCTCACAGTATTTCCTCTAATAAAAACCTTTCTTTTGATGTTTTCTGTCCTGTGGAAAAATTCATATAATGAAAGAATATGCAACACAAATTAATCCCCCAGTTTAACTTAAAATGTGGTGGATAAATCCACAGAAAGCCTTAAACAGTATTTATACACTGCAAGTTTTAGAAATGTGTTTCCGTGTGCGAGGATAAATCAGAAAAAGAGATAAAAGACTCAGTACAACTTTTAATGTTTTTGAAAAAATAAAATAAAATAAGTCAAACCTATCACATGTGGGAACTGAAATTAACAAATTAGTATTCCTGAAATCAATTTTTCGCATTCATAGTAGTAGCACAGGAAAATTAAATCCAAGGCAATGCGAGAGAGAGACATATTTACATAACTCCTTCTAGAGCAGGGAGCAACACTGACAAATACACATGGCGTAAGAGAAAAGAAAATGCTATGACGCCCATTCAGCAAACCCAGGAAGATCCACCCAGAAAAATGCTTCTCCCTTTAAATTGTCAACTGCAGCCTTTGAATTTTCAGTAGTCTTATTTCATGTTAGTCTGTTTAAATTAACAAAAATCAACTTAATGTCTGTTTTAGAGACACCAGACACACACTCTTATCTATGATGGTGAACTCCCCCAAGGCCTCACAGACCAGGCTGCAGAAAGCAGAGCTCCAGCAGCAGCACAGCATCTCCATCGAGGGCATGTACAGAACAGAGTTAATGCATCTATGACAACTCAGAAGAGTGGAGATTTAAATTAAGTGCCACCCCATAAATGGTAGCCTGAACAATTTGTTCCACAACACACACACTCACCGTTCACACTTGTGCGAATCTGAGTGTACACCACAAACATTTGCCGAGTGCCTAGACAAGCACCTGCAGTGGTATTAGCTGAGCAAATTTACAGCGAGTTCGCACAAGCCACAACAGAGCCGTGAACATCAGCCTAGAGAAGGCCAAAAAAGACACCAGTTTAATCACACGGACTCAATTCCCATCCTTAAGGTAACCCAGTGGGTCAGGCACATCCACACATGAAAATGCTTCAAAGAAAAAAAGAACAAGAAACTGAAAGGTGGGAAGATGTCTGTGTGCAATACCACACAAGTCAGTGTGTTAGGATAATGGCAAGCTCACGTTCTACTTGCTTCAGTTTCCAATTCCTCATTGAATGCAGTAGTTAGAAAGGACAGACAATACCATATGGGAAAAATAGGTAAATTAAAAAGACAAAATGAGGAAAGTAAGAAGGAGAAGGGAGACAATCAAGAGTAAGTGAAACAAAACTTTTGCGAATTCACTGACCTTGTATATTCTGTTGGATTTTTGAAAGATAATTTAGAAATACTCATCATTGGCCACATGCCTGGATGAGTCAAAAAGAAGACACATGGGCACTCAACAGACAAGGAGATTTAACATATTGCCATTGTTCTCTGGAATGTATTTCAGAAAATGAATGTTCCAGAATAGAATTTTTTCCTTTGTTCCAAATATTACAGAAAGTATTTAGCTTAAACCAGTCTGCTAATGTATTTTCATTATAACCCTGTACCTTTGACAGTAACGATAGCAGCCAGAAATCCATGAAATAAACAATATAGGGAAAACTAGGTCATCAGTCATACTATGGAATGAAAAACATAATCAGAGCTACTTTTAATAAATGCTCACCCAGCATTTCTGCAGTTCTGTGTTTCTTATACAGAAGATCTGACGTTGCTAAGTATTCTATGTTGAATTTTTATTTCGAAAAGCAGTTATAAATTAAGCAGTCTATTGTGCTTAGAGTAAGGTTAGGATCACTGTACTGTATGTCAAGTCATTCCTTCAGACTCTGCGCTAAAAATACAACTCTGTGAAAAATCTCTGCTACTGCTAACAATCCTGTGAAGTTCTTTGAAGTGCAGTGTGGCTGTCAAATATGTCAGTTGCTGAGGGAGCCTCTCATGGTGCTGAAGAATGAAATATTTGATTTGTGAGTCAGGAAAAGCAGAATAGAGACGTGCTGACACAGAACTGAGCAGGTTCAATAGCCCATTCACCAGTTCTTGAGCTGGATACGCAAATGTCAGATGCCAGAGGTAGATCAAAGCACCCCAGGTTGACCGTGAGCTGTGTGGCACATTCGGAGCCATTAGAGAGTCTATCCGTGCACTGTCCTGCAGCCACACTAAAGCCTTTGCAGAACAGAGATCAAAATGCAGAAGGAGGCATTAAGGGAGAAGCACAGTGAGACAGGTATTTGGAAAGACAATCTAAGCAAATCAAATCAATTAGAGTGACCTCTGGCATGAGGCACCCTGAAAGCCCTTGGGTTGAACACACCATCTCTGGCACACCCAGCCGCATGTTCTGCTGTGGTTCTGCTGTTTGAGGAGGACGTCTCACGGCCTCTACCTCACAGATATGTTTTTTATAGGGTAAAAGAACATCCTGGCAAATGCTGGTTCTCAAGACCACTTCCTAGTGTTATGCATTATATGCAACAAGATCTGAACCCCTTTGATTATGACCCTCTTATGTTAGCCACTACCCAACATACTGTGAAACCCCCACTCCAAACCCCAAAATACTAACATCACTCACACAACTTTGATTTTGCTAAGCATTTTTTTTCAATATATTAGAAAAAAACAAAAAGCTCATGAAGAACATTTAGTCTTTCTCATTTTCCAATTATAACTATGCCTCCTAACCAGGGTCTGCAAAATAAAATTATGTCAGAGGACTTTGAGTTTGCTTCTTCTTTTGCAACATAATGCAACACGTTTTTAGTTTCTTCACCTCTAAAAGCATGAAAGAAGCTGCTGTCACTCTGCTGACAAAAACAGATTTCTCTTCTTATTCACATTCTCAAGATACTTCTAGTTTTTGTCAAGTTGAATCTGAGCTAGTTTAGAGATTGTTAATGTTTTAATGTAATGGTTTAGATCTTAAAAAGCTGCCATATTTATTTGAAGGAAATAAAAGAGAACAGTTTTACTACTATTTCTAATATCTGAATAATAGAAGTTTTACAACATGCTTTTATTCTCCAGGGTTCAAATCTCACTCAAACAGCTTTGTTTATTTTTAATTTAATTTTTATATTTATATATAAATTTGAAGCTTTCTTACCAAATTCCTCCCAGCTCCTGACAGGAAGCAGCCATAAGTGAAGATTGGCATGTGCTATACTCATCAAAATCACCTCAACATGTTATGGCACCTGATGTACGTGTGTTTGGTACACTGGTTTTGGTATTGTCACAAGAGACTGTTACCCTGGTGAGAAGCTCTGTGGTAGAAGAGATCATCATGTTTGCCAAAGGTGAAAGATGAAGCACTGAACTCCACGAAATTGTAAATCCCACCACAGTTAATCTGACAATGCATGCCAAGCATGTGCCAAGACACAAAGCCATGTGATTAAAGGAGAAAGCATAAATCTTCTTTTAATGCTGCCTGGATTTTATATCACAGCCCTAATGTTGTTTAAACCAAATATTAATATTTGGCTATGAAAAGGGTAATTTTGCTTTATTTAAAAGCAGACATACAGCCAAGGACAGTCGAGGGAAATTACTGGCCTGTAGGGTTAGGCAGGAAGAGCATTGGTCACACCCTCGGTAATGCTTGGATATCTGTGAAAGACAAAAGAAATACTTAGAGGTTTTAGAAAGAAGAATCTTTGTATCACTTTGCAGATTAACTTTATAATCTTGTAATGAATTCCACAGATCTTTCAATTCTTACAAACAATAACTTTGAAAGAATCTGTTAGAAATATCAAAGATATGATTAAGTGCAAATAAGAAAAGTATGCCAACCTCAGGCTGAGGTGGTTGGCAAGCCATAAAAACATTTTTACATGCTTAAACTAGCAGAAGAGTGGAATAATTGATTGGAAATTTTCAGAGGAAATAAACTTTCATTGGAAAACATCATTTTGTGCCCAGGGGGTTTCACTCAGAAAGTTCATTTGGCATTCAAGCACTTCACTTAAGACAATTCATGTCCAGGAGCAGGAGTACCATATTTGTGTCCTGTGCAAGCTAGAAGTCTTGTCAGCTCATTAACTTGAGCTCTTTATCACCTAAAAGCAGCTACCTGGCCCTCTGATCTGAGCAAGCCTTCCCAGACCCATGTGGCACAGCCTAGTGTTCCCAATCAGGGCATGCTTCCCTCACCCCAAGCTGCCTCCACCTCAGTTGGATCTGCCTCAAAAAAACCCAAATAAGCCCTCACTGCTGAGTCTTTTAAAGGAATCTCACATTCCCATGTACTACAGATAGTAAGACACACTCTACTGGAGTTCATTTGGAGCATTTCCTCAAACAGGAATCTTACTGCTGCTTCAGCCCTGTTGCAATTCATCAATGTTGATTTTTATTTTTTAAACTGGTATCCATTTTATTTATTTGTTGATTTTTTCAATATTTACACAGAACATAATGACCCACTAATAGTTCACTAAGTGGTTCATTTATCTTGTTACAAACCAAACCAAGAAATCTCCAGGAAGCGTGGTCAGCAGGTCAAGGGAGGTAATTCTCCCCCTTACTCCAATTCCCATGAGACTCCACCTGGAGTACTGTATCCAGCTCTTGGATCCCCAACATAAGGATGTAGACCCGTTGGAACGAGTCCAGAGTAGGATCACAAAGATGATTAGAGGAATGGAGGACCTCTCCTATGAAGACAGGCTGAGACAGTTGGGATTGTTCATCCTGAAGAAGGCTCCACGAGACCTTACAGCAGCCTTCCAGTACATAAAGGGGCCTACAGGAAAGGTGGAGAGGAACTTTTCACAAGGACAAGTAGTGATAGGATAAGGGGGAATAGCTTTAAGATGAAAGAGGGTAGCTTTAGGTTAGATATTAGGAAGAAATTCTTTACTGTAAGTGTGGTGAGGCACTGCAACAGTGGTGGATGCCCCATCCCTGGAAGTGTTCACAGCCAAGTTGGACCACGCAACCTGGTTTAGTGGAAGGGTTGGAACTAGATGATCTTTCAGGTCCCCTCCAACCCAAACCATTCTATTATTTTATGATCTCCAAACTGTTTTACAAGAGCTGATACCCAGAGATTTACCAACTGCAAATCAGTATGCAGGACCAGTGTTTTCAAAATTCCTCCATTCCATATGTATCCAAAAGGTATTTTTTAAAACCACAAGAGCAATCTAGCCACTCTACCCAGAGCCTGCAGGGCAGGTGGCTACTTGGAGCACAGGCCCTGAACCGCCTCTGTGCTAGATTGTCCCTGTGGTTCCCATTTGCCTGGTCCCTCTTCTTCCCACCCTCATTTCATAGCTGGAACACCCACGTCTCGGTCCTCTTAAGGGATACTGAATCATATTTCAGTACGAAAATATAATATTAACAGCAAGACTCTCAAAATCTTCTGAGAGGGAAACAAAAGAAGACTGTTCATACCATTACACCTCTCTGTACTATCACACAGTTAACCTAAGTCTTTTTTTCTTTGCTTCTTCATCAGCCACCAGGTTATCTCGTATCAGCCTATGGCTAAGCAGGGAGAGCAGCTACTCCTGGATATATTCTAACCCCATTGGAATCAGTCAGATTTTTCCAGTTTTACCCAGATGTTACAGAAAAGGACTATGCAGAGTGTTGGTGCAAGGCAATGCAGACATTTTAAGATCATGGTAATAGATATCTCCTGTACTTCAGAGTAATCATGTTCTCATACTGCTGCAGGTAATAAGTACATTTTACTTTGACCAAAGTGGTGATAAGATTTTTTAGGGAAAAGCTGGAGATTATTAAAATGCTCTGAGATGAACTATTGCATTTATTTTATGAAGCTTTTTAACTGGTTTGAAAAGCTGAACATGATAAAATAGCTTCACAACACTGTATTGAAATGGAAAAAGAAAATCTATTACCCTTTCCAGGTTCCCCTTTATCCAATAATTTTTTTTTTAATTCAGCAGAAGTTAAAAAGCAATTTCAGGATTTTTTTCTAGAAAAAAATGGATTTGTTTCAGGAAATGAAAACATTTGCTCTAATTTCAAAATTGTTTAGAAAGGAAATTGCATACCTCCATTTCTTAATGATAAAAACATATATAACAATAGTAGTCACTCCTCTGTTAGTTGTTTGAGAAAAAAATCAAAAAGAAGCCATATATTAATATTTGATCTTCTTTTAAAATTCTTAGTTCAGGTACTTAAAACTATATGTCTGTGACATCTAGGTGCCACAGACATTTACATTTTACCCTGTATAAAGCAGAAATTCTTACCTAGACCAAATAAAGAATTGTTTCTGAGTGCACCAGGTAACAATGACTCCATACCACATCCAACCCCACCTTATTCTTGAACATCCTTGGGGACACTGGGAGGCCAGCAGCAAACTGGAGTGCCAGGAGATGGGTGCCTTTGCTATTACTTCATCCCATATGCTTAGAGTGACACTTTTAAGAGTTGGAATTAACAAGATTTGGCATCAGAATATTGTTTTTTCTTCCTCTTCTTGCCCAAAATGATTCTGCACTCTGGTCTTTTACGCACAGACTTATGTTCTCATGCTGTGGAGTCAGTTGTGGAATCCAGGGAACATTCACCCTAGCTTAAGGAGGAAAAGAGGAGTGAAGAGCTCAGTTTTGTCATCCTCTGTCACACTGGTGTAATACTATATTCTGCAAGTGCTTCAACTGGGGCCAACAAATCTCTCTGTGCGTGCACAGAGTAGAGCACTAATCAGGTTAAATAAGGTTGGCAGATTCAGGTCACACCATAGGTAAAAATATCCATTATTATTCAGAAATAGAAAAAGTAGATACCAGAAAATAGACAAGAGATATTTGACAAAATTTTGGATGAAGAGACAAGCCTTGTGGACCATTAAGAGCTAGCAAAGGCTATTGGTCCCACTAGCTCCATGGCTAGAAGCTCTTCATCACATCTCTCCTCTCACTGGGAGCACTGAGACAACTGGAAAAAACTGCCAGAAAATCACTACCTGAGGAAGTACCACCTACATTGATTTCTTTGATTTAGAAATTATTCCTGTGTTCTAGTCAGCCAGATAATTGTTTTACAAAAAGAATTACTAGTATCAGAACTTCAGCAGCTCTGAAATGTCCCTCGGCAAGCAAACAAGTAACTCTTCCACCCACTCAGTACGCCCCCACTTGTGAATTGCAATTAGCATTGCAAATGTCTTTCCCTTTTCGGAACTATTGATTGTGCTGTTAAGTAGCAGCAGAGAGTTAAAATGCTTGGAAATCTGCTTTAGCTTCCATTCTCTGTTATCCATCTACCTACCTATTTATCTATCAATCATCTATCTATCCATCACAAAAAATTTTCTAATTCTATACAGCTACTAACATTATACAACCTTCTAGTTATGGGCAATAGGCATTATACAATATTATTCCCACTCACCTTTCAAAAACTTTATTTAATACAGTCTAAACATTCTTTCCAATATTTACGGGAAATATTCCAATTGTACATCCCCCCTGAGCATACTCCATGTCAAAATTTCTTGCCTAGTTAAAAAGCCAGTATTTGGCCAGCTCATCTTCTATGAGTCTCTTTGGGTTTTGCACTTAATACCTCGCCTTACTTGAACCTGTTTATATAGATATCTGTGGATATGTTGGTTATAAGAAGGCAGAAATAGTGAGATATTAGATATATAGTTGTTCTTACACGCAGATGTTGCTCGTAAGGGTGGACAGAGGCCTGTATTATGATTGACAGAAGTTCCAAAAAATTTCAGTGGTTGGCAGTGAGCAAAATGCCACATTGGTACAAGTATTCTTAACACATCCAGTGCAACCCCAGTATAAACCCAGCAATTCACCCTACACTGCAAGACAATCAGAAACATCCTATACATAATCCTATGTAGGCCTCGTGGCAGACCTGAGAGATGAAGAAAAAGACTAAGAAGTATTAGGAACTCTGAGGAAGAGACTGACTGGTGGAGCTGCACTCTACCCTGCCTTAGACAAACACACTCATCATCCACTTCACAAAAAACAATGGATCCCCTACCTCTTCACCATCAGGCAGAAGGAAGGCACCCTAGAGAAGGAAGGAAGTGGAAACGGTTTTCTGCTCAGAGTTGCAGGTTAGTCCCTCCTGACCTACTTCACCTCCCCAGCTACCCTTATACAACAGGTATGAGGCCCTGGAATCCGAGGACCAGGGAAATGAGAGTGTGGATGAAGGTCCATCCAGGTTGGAGGGGTAGCCTAAGGCAGGACAGCCTATCCCCCACTTCATGACCTCCTCAATTAGGAAAAAAAGAAGGTAAACTAGTAAATACCTGAAAAAAATACCATAAAAAAAATAGAAGGGGATTCCCTTTTGAGACGAACAGAGGGGCCGATATGCTGACCGGACCCAAACCATGGGGGGTGTGTTGTCACCCCCAGGTAAGGGACATCAACCAGAAACTTTCCAGCATGGTATGGCCCACTGATTATTCACGCTACTGGTTTTCCAGGTGCGTACCAAAAAGAGGGCTGTGAAAAATCAAGAGGGACCTCAGGGCCTTAGGACAACTAGTCAAGACGTCTGGAGCTGAGTAAAGATTTCCTCAAGAATCTCTGACCCAGGAGATAAGGGTAAAGGC